GGAGTAGTACTGTTGACCAAAGTGGGCTGAACAGCCCCCCTGCCACGACCACACACACCTAGGAGCAGACCTACTTTGACCTCTAACCCTACTTTGACCGTTGTTAATATGCTTCCTGTTGCTTTTATGAGCCGTGAAGATCCCTCATACTGCATTACTTATGTATGCGTGTGTGTGTCTGTGTGTTTGAGAGCTGCAACAATGATCAAAGCATCTGAATGAGCCAATCAAATGCTATCAGTGTTAGATGATAATGATAAGGTACATGACATGTCTTTCACTCTGTTGAATAAAAAGTTTGCTGACTGCATAATTTATTGTTGCAGACCTTAGACACAACATACAAAGACAACCTTTTCCCTGGAGAACAACAACATAACTGTAGGCCTACACAACTTTGACTCGATCAATAAACGCACACAACTCTCCCACAACCTTTTAGAGAACACAACCACCACACAACCCCCTATCACTTCCTACCTATTGACCTGCCAACCGAGCAGACATTCAGTCCTCTGTGTGAGAACAGAGTTATTGTGTGCCTCTGACTATCCTATCTCTCTCTCTGTGTGTGTGTGTGTGTGTGTGTATTAACTAATCTGCTCATTAATGTCTAGATTAGGAGAGGGACTCCCAGAAAAAGTGAGAGAACGAGTGGGATAGAGAGACTAGAAGAGGGGAGAAGGAGAGGCAGATTGGGTCTCTGCTCCTGCTGACTCAGTCATGGGAATGATTAGATTATGACTGTGCATGAGCACGGCTTATGTAACACACACATCTCAAAAAATAATGAAGGGACTGTCTCTGAGCCAAAAACACAAACCAACCAAGACTAGCATGCAGAGAGAGAGGCCACGTCAGGGAAAATACACCTCCCTTTCTCTCCAGCACATATCAACAAACAACCCTTAGCAATGTTGATAAAAATATAAAATATAATGAACATGGCAGTTGGTTGCACGACTCAAGACTGTGTGAGCCCACTGAGCTAAAAGCTTGGCATCCACTAACATCAGTCTTCAAGTTACAGACAAGGTAGCTGCTGTTGGAGCAGGGGTGGAGCAAACCGTGTAGCTCTCCAGGAGGGTTTCCCACCCCTGTGTTAAAATTACAGTGAGAAACTTCAGTCACATCATATGCTGCACAATGTTGGAGTGCTCTCAAAAGTAAACACTTCTCTGATAAGTGGGTCATGGAGTGCACTTGAGAGTTGTCATTATGCAGACGTAACGGGGTGCAGGACACTACAGAGTTGTTAGTGCGCACTGCTGCCCCTCATTTACCCATAGTCCTCCTCTGCGCCTCAATCTCATTGGAGGATCATTACGTAACCTTTCATCCACTGTCTCACTGCTGTTTCTCCCTTGTGAAAGAGTATTCTCCACTAACACTAAAAAATAATCTGCCTTCAGGTTACAAAATATCTATGTTTCTGTGAGTTGTGTTGATAAAAGAGCCCAACAGTGGAGGTGTCATAATACCCATAAAACCTAGCAGTCAAACAGAGAAATGGTTCCAATCGTTTTTGCACCATTCATTTTTCCCATAGGGGATTTTAGAAACACTTTAAATAAGGGCTGTGTTTTGTGTAGGCTTACCCTGGCGTGACATTTTATAACCATGAAATGTAGCCAATTTATTAATTACTAAATTTAGCTAACATTACATAGTTAATCCAGAGATTCTTACCTTTGCCTCGATTCGGCAGTCTCGTCCAGATCATCATGGCATTTGTAGTTCTTTATGATTTTTTGGGGGGTAAATACAGGCGAATATATTGTTAAAAGTAATCTTGTCCTAGAGAGATCTACACGGTTATCAAAACACAGCAATTATTTTAAGTGTTTCTAAAATGAATGGTGGAAAAATGATTGGAACCATTTCCTTTTTTGACCACAGGGTTTTATGGGTATTATGACTCATACTGTGGTACTCTATGCTTGCTCTCTATAGCTCTGATGTTGTTCTCCATGTTAAATAGATCTCTCCTCTAACCAATCATACAGGCTGACACAAGCACAAATCCTCTCTGAGAAATTCAGGCGACGTCTCAAGAGTGTATGTCTGTGTGAGAAAAAATGGACAGACGACTGATTCTTTGCGACCGCCCAGACTCCATTTTTAGAGGTTTCAACCAGAACTGGACAATAAAGGTCACACATCTTTAAAAGCACAGCAGCCCTAACAGCATGTGACAGAGAGAGCAGCAACAGTGTGCTACCATGCGTTCTTCTTTGTCTCTCTGCAGGATGTACTGTGGGGTCTGGAATTATTGGATCCCTTGATAAAGATGAGCAAAAAAGACTGTATAAAATCAATAATACAAATACTGAGCTATATTGTATGCTTTAACATGTTTTATTATTATTTTATGCTTGGGGTTATTGTCTTGCTGGAAGATCCACTTGTGGCCAAGTTTCAGCCTCCTGGCAGAGGCAACCATGTTTTGGGCTGAAATGTCCTGGTACTTGGTAAAGTTCATGATGCCGTTGACCTTAACAAGGGCCCCAGGACCAGTGGATGTAAAATAGCCTCATAACATCAAAGATACAGCACCATATTTTACAGTAGGGATGAGGTATTTTCTGCATATGCATTTTTCTTTCAAAGGCCAAACCCACTGCTATAATGTGTGGCCAGAGCTCTATTTTCATGTCAAATTACCATAGCAACGGTTCTAATACAAGTGGCAATGCCATTTATCAAACTCCAGGCAGTGCTATGGTAAGATGACATGAAAATGTTGTTCTTTGAACATGGTGGGTTTGGCCTTTGAAAGAACAATGCATATGCAGGAAATACCTCATCCCTACTGTAAAATATGGTGGTGGATCTTTGATGTTTTGACTCGGATACAGATTTCCTTTATTTGTTCTCATGAGGAAATGAATTTACACAGCTTCAGCTCTGAAACACTCATCAAGGCTACGTTAGGGTGTGTGTGTGTGTGTGCGACTATGTAGCTAGGTTAATCATGTTACCACCAGAGCTGGTTGGAGTAACTGGAGCATTTGAACAGAACGTCTGCGATGGACACAGACAGTTTAACAGGCCTTTAGCCGCAAAGCCCCAAAACCGTGTCTGTCAGCTGAGGACTAGAATCAGGTGTGTTCGAGCAGGGCTGGAACTAAAGCGAGCACACGCAGTAGTTCTCATGGAGCAGGGTTGGCCATAATCTCTGCACTCAAATCTGTTCTTGGTCCCCAGCTGGGTTTATGACTATTTACTACCACCTAGTGGTTAAACCTGTATACTGTGAGAGGGGACAGGGGTAGGTTTGTAGAAAGACCACCAACACACACTTTGACTTTCTCCTAAACATGTTTGTTCTCCTTAGCAGGTGGCCTAACATGAACGGTAGGCAACTGCTTGACTTCACCAGTCCAGTTCATCAGTTTCATCCATCATAATGCTGCTCCTCCTCAGTTCTTGCTTCATTTGCCCTTATCCTTGAGGTATACTGCTGAAATGCATATAGCCTACATATTAGTCAAACAATTAAAGCAAATATCCCTCATACCTGACTTGTAAATAGTACATAGTCAATAATCCATTGCCTTTAAACCTGCAGTTGAAAGTGGTTCCATGAAATGTAGTATGCAGTGAGAAGCACCAACAACACCCCCCTACCTAGTTTCTCAACGGCCTCCACACACACGCTGGGGTACATGCTGTCGTTGTATGTCGCCACTATTACGTACAGAGCAGTCTTCACAAGAATTAAGCCATGTGTTCCCTGTTAGAGAAAAATATCCATCAGACCAGGCATACCCTTACAAAAAAGGTACAGTGCAGTATAGCTGCACTGCAAAACTGTAGCAATAATACATGTATGTTTATAAATTGTGATTTGCCTACTGACACATTTGCAGTAGATGGAGTTCCTGTCAGCTCGGACGCAGTTGTATGCTTTGTCTTGGAAGTAGAAACCCTGCTCTCTGGTCGATGCCATGTGCTTGAAAGAGTCTATGAAAATCTGGGCTTGTGGTGGAAGAACCTGTAGTTACGTTATGAAGGGTAACATCATTAATCTGATCGGAGACAGATGGTTTTTTTAGGCTTCAAAATGAATCCACCTCCCCATTGCTTAGATCAATCCAGCTGCCTCAACCCCATAAATGGAAAAGCATGAATTCTGAAAATTATAATATATTGCGCCATAACATAATACCTCTTACAATTAGACAGATAATTAGTTGCTACACAATGGGTGGCCCTGGGAAGTCGGCTTTGACTTGGATGTCAACACAGGAATTAGATTGTGCTGATTGCGATGTCTGAATTGTCCTTGTTTTTTTACAACAAAAGCGACATGACGAACTTGCCTGAAACCTTGCAGACGCGGCAGTTACTGTTGCAGTCTTCGCAACCAGAATGGCAGCGCTTTCCACGTGTTTTGTATCGATAAGACAGTAATTTATCAAATTCTGAAATTGGTTCATAATAACCAATTTTGTCAAAGATTGTATAGTATGTCTGTTAAATTCAAATAACTAACGTTAACGTTACTGCTGTTACTTTTTCCCGTTCAGCGCACCAGACGACGTTTCCATGGAGACCATCCGTGGGTGTTACCAGCGTAAAGAGATCGCAGTGAAAACATACGTCTGCTAATGGTTCCCATTGTAATTGATCCTTGATACATTTTGCGTACATAAAAAAAAAACACCAAAAAAAAACACTGCTATTACATACTTCACAATTATTTGTTTGCTCCTAGTCTACACACATTTTTACAAGGAAGGATGGGTGCATTTTTTGCCCTGGGGTTGAAGCTACAAGCCCTCTACTTTTGTCTGGAGAGGTAAGACAGAAGCAAACATAAAACAGTTTGGAGAGCAGCTGGACCAAACATCTGTTAACAGAATTCGAATATTTATTTATTCAAAAAAAGTACAAATACAGTTGTGTAATATACAACCGATATGACATGATGTACAGTAGGCCACACTAGGACAGGTTGATGTACAGTAGGCCACACTAGGACAGGTTGATGTACAGTAGGCCACACTAGGACAGGTTGAGTGTGTCCACCAGGTCTTTGTAATGGTATTTGTCCGATATAGTCTCCACCTTGTCCCAGGCCTGGATGCTTCCCAAAACAGTCAGCAGATCGCTCACCACGGCCCTACAGAAACCACATTACATGCATTAGCATCAAAACCATGGCACATGAATCTGCCTATATCGTAAAAGTACATTTGAGGTAGGTAGGCAGTTACCGTGTGTTGGGGTGGTCAGGCTGCTGTTTGCAGACTGAATGGGCAGTCTGGAGGAGGTGGTCACTGAAGGACTTCAGTTGAGACGGACAGGAGCTCACATCTTTAAACCAGGACTTAGGAAAACACACCGCAACCTGCTCAGAGAGAAAAACCTTTGTTAATTTGAGAAACACTTTAAAATGACACCACTAAACTGAGCCATCTCAAAGAAAGCAGAGCAATTATTCCCCAAGCAAACACCTTGAAACCTCCATAGACAATACATTAACATTAGACACATGCGATTCACCTACACACCTTTTTACATTTGTGCACAGAGTCATGTGAGTGGGTTTCGTTGAGTAGCGTCATCATAAGGTAGCGGTTCAGGAGTTTGTCCAACATCAGTTCCTTCAGAACATGTTCAGATATCAAACCATCCCACTGGCCCACGTTACCTAGGAGCTGATAAAAAAAAGACAGAAATGCCACTAAAGCAATGCATTGGATGTTACAGAAATAGCAAGAGAGATAATCAAATCACATTTTATTTGTCACATGCACCAAATACAACAGGTGTAGACTTTACCGTGAAATGCTTACTTACGAGCCCTTAACCAACAATGCAGTTCAATAAATAGAGTTAAGAAAATATTTACTAAATAAAGTCAATGTAAATAGACCATTTGATGAATTTTTCAGCAGTCTTATTTGTATTTATTAGGGATCCCCATACACATCCTGGGGTCCAAACATATTAAAGCACTTACATTACAGATAAAAAAGTACATAATATAACATTATTACACCCCTACATATCTACAATACAAAATATTTAATACCACCATACAACAATATATGCATGTGTCTGTACCTTTGTGTGTCTCTTCACAGTCCCGGTTGTTCCATAAAGGTGTATTTTTACCTGTTTAAAAAAAAAATCTGATTCTACTGCTTGCATCAGTTACCTGATGTGGAATAGAGTTCCATGTAGTCATGGCTCTATGTGGCACTGTGCGCCTCCCATAGTCTGTTCTGAACTTGGGGACTGTGAAGAGACCTCTGGTGGCATGTCTTGTGGGGTATGCATGGGTGTCCGAGCTGTGTGCTAGTATTTTAAACAGACAGCTCGGAACATTCAAAATGCTTCTTAACAGCTTCTACCCCCAAGCCATAAGACTCCTGAACAGTTAATCATGGCTACCCAGATTATTTGCATTGCCCCCCCTCTGTGCCTCGACACAATCCTGTCTCGGAGCTCTACGGACAATTCCTTCGACCTCATGGCTTGGTTTTTGCTCTGACATGCACTGTCAACTGTGGGACCTTATTTAGACAGGTGTGTGCCTTTCCAAATCATGTCCAATCAATTGAATTTACCACAGGTGGACTCCAATCAATTTGTAGAAACATCTGAAGGATGATCAGTGGAAATAGGATGCACCTAAGCTCAATGTTGAGTCTCATAGCAAAGGGTCTGTATACTTATGAAAATAAGGTATTCATATTTTTCCTTATTTTTTGTGTGTTTTACTTCCTTTTTCGATCTTGTCTCATCGCTGCAACTCCCCAAAGGGCTCGGGAGGCGAAGGTCGAGTCATGCGTCCTCCGAAACATGTCCCGCCAAACCGCGCTTCTTAACACCCGCCCGCACCAATGTGTCGGAGGAAGCACCATTCAACTGACGACCGAGGTCAGCCTGCAGGCGCCCGGCCCGCCACAAGGAGTCGATAGAGCGCGATGAGCCAAGTAAAGCCCCCCTGGCCAAACCCTCCCCTAACCCGGACGATGCCTGGCCAATTGTGCGCTGCCCTATGGGACTCCCGATCACGGCCGGTTGTGATAAAGCCCGGGATCGAACCCAGGTCTGTAGTTACGCCTCTTAGACCGCTGCGCCACTCGGGAGGCTCTCTGTTTTTAATTTTTAATACATTTGCTAACATTTCTAAAAACCTGTTTTCGCTTTGTCATTATGGGGTGCTGTGTGTAGTTTGATGAGGGGAAAAAATGTAATCCATTTTAGAATAAGGCTGTAACGTAACAAAATGTGGAAAAAGTGAAGGGATCTGAACACTTTCCGAATGCACTGTAGCTGCACTAACCAGCACATGAGGAGCTGTGACCAAAGCCCTGTCTATCTCTTGACTTGACTATTGGTAGAAGTTGTAATGGGCTTACTGAGCCACATAGATGCGGTAGAGGTCAATGGAACTTAACCCAAATAATTGAAATGCCATGGAAACGTGTGGGGGAAAGACGCCGTGGGGAGAAATTAGGCTACATTAGGCTATTGTTCATGTCTATTTCACACTATGTTGAGGTAAAAATCTTAGTATAATGCTTGAATAGATAATGCTTGTATGGATAATGCATGTCATTGTCACCAATCAAATGCATTGCAGTTAAAAAAACAACTTTAACTACCAACACAGATTTCTGTATGTTAGCTATGCTACCAGCTTAAACGAACGGGAGTTAGCATTTGTAATAGGAAGTTGGAATGGGCTATCTGAGCCACATGGTCACTACAGTACACCATCCACTCTTGGGAAGCACACCATCGAAAAATACAATGTGTTGTTACGTACCTTCACAGCTGTCCAGAACTGCTGGTCTCGGAACCTCCTCTGTGGAGAGGACCTGTCGTCTAAAAACCTGCCAAAACACCTGGCAGTTATGGTCAAGTAAGCTACGTTATGACAAGCTTGGCATAAACACGAGTTCCAATGGGAAATTTCTAGCTCAGGGCTCTCCAGCCCTGTTCCTGGAGAGCTACCGTCCTGTAGGTTTTTGCTCCAATCCTAATCTAGCACACCTGATTCTAATAATTAGCTGGTTGATCAATTGATCACAACTGGGGTTGGAGCGAAAACCTACCGGTAGCTCTCCAGGAACAGGGTTGGGCAACCCTGAGCTAGATATACTACTTAAAGAATCACATTGAGACATCTCTGGGTGGATTCACTCACTTCTTAGGGTAGAGAGGGATGAAGACGTCGTCATCCACTGAACTCCTCAATCTGCCACTCACTGCTTCAAGAAACGCCTGGCAGGGGACAGGACAAGACCGAATCACACACAGGACAGGGACAGAGAGAGAACTAGACTTATTTACATTCTGACACACTCACAGGTAGTAGTTAGGTTTCAAAAGGTTTTCTCCCATTTTGTGACTCCAGCCAGTCAACTCTCTGGTTGACATTCTTTGTGACTAGAACCTTGACTAGAGCAGTGGTTCCCACGAGGGCTTTCAACTTACTCTTGAACGTTTTTATAGTAGAATGCACAAGGTGCAATTTAGAAATTGGGAAGTGCATCATCAGTTTTGCTCTGGTCATGTCAGTCATTGCATACCTTAGAGCTATTTTTTAACTTGTCAGAAATGTCCAGTTTTACTTGCACATGTCAACTACATTTTTTGTTTGCTAGGCTTTTTTGTCCATAGATTTTGTAGTAATGTTGGAGTCACTCATATCACAAATACACATTAGACATGGCAAAAAGTATAGAATTGCAAGAAAATGAGCTTTAAAACTGCAAAATGTTCTCTCCGCCAACAAGAGGGGTGTGAAGAGTTTGTCATGAACAGTGCTTGTTCATGACAGCAACGTCGCATAGCCATTGAAGAGGAGTGGGACAACATTCCACAGAACACAATCAACAGCCTGATCAACTATGCGAAGGAGGTGTCGTGCTGCATGAGGCAAATGGTGGTCACACCAGATACTGACTGGTTTTCTGATCCACACCCCAACTTTTTTTTTTTTAAAGGTATCTGTGACCAACAGATGCATATCTGTATTCCCAGTCATGTGAAATCCATAGATTAGGGCCTAATTAATTTATATAAATTGACTGATTTCCTTATATGAACTGTAACTCAGTAACATTTTTGAAATTGTTGCATGTTTGCGTTTATATTTTTGTTCAATGTATATATATATATATATATATATATATATATATATATATATATATATATTTTTTTTTAAACATTTACAATTTATTTACAGTTTGAAATGCATGTTAGCGTTTTTCATCATTAATCTTGTACTGGAGGCAGCTCTGCAGAGTGGTCACTAGCTGGCACAGCTACAAAGTCTTAAAATCTGAATATAAACCTAACCTTAACCATACTGCTAACCCTAATGCCTAACCTTAAATTAAATAGGCCAATTCGGCAGCTGGCCTATTTAAGACAATCGTTCAGTTCTGCCTCCAGGACAAGACTCGTGACAATAAACGTCAACCTGCGTTGGAAACAGAGGGGGAGAACAGTAGGAAAGGTGGACATTGAAAACCTGTCTCCGGTGGGGAGTTGCATACGTGACTGGCTGGGAGCGTTGCTGCTAGACTCAGGCTCTGCACTGTAGAAGGAGTTTTAACTGTTACCTTGACCGGTTTGCTCTGCTCTCCCTCAAACAGAGAGTAGTCGTCCTGCAGCCTGCAACACAACTCAGACAGACACACAGACTGACGGCTGGACAGAGGGTCCCACACCAACTCCACAAAACCTGGAAGGAGGAGGGAGGCACATTAAAGTGAGACAAACCTGAGTAAAAACCACAGGCCCACTCATGACAACATTGAAAACTTTCACTAGTCACTTTAATAATGTTTACATACTGCTTTACTCATCTCATATGTGCATTCGGAAAGTATTCAGACCCTTTGACTTTATCCACATTTTGTTATGTTACAACCTTATTCTAAAATTGATTAAATTGTCCCCCCCCCCCATAAATATACACACAATACCCCATAATGACAAAGCAAAAACAGTTGATATTTTTGCAAATTTATAAAAAATCAAAAACGGAAATACCTTATTTACATAAGTATTCAAACCCTTTGCTATGAGACTGGAAATTGAGCTAGGTGCATCCTGTTTCCATTGATCATCCTTGAGATGTTTCTACAACATGATTGGAGTCCACCTGTGGTAAATTCAATTGATTGGACATGATTTGGAAAGGCACAAACCTGTCTATATAAGGTCCCAAGTTGACAGTGCATGTCTGAGCAAAAACCAAGCCAAGATTCTTCCTAGAGCTGGCCGCCCGGCCAAACTGAGCAATCGGGGTAGAAGGGCCTTGTTCAGGGAGGTGACCAAGAACCCGATGGTCACTCTGACAGAGCTCCAGGGTTCCTCTGTGGAGATGGGAGAACCTTCCAGAAGGACAACCTTCTCTGCAGCACTCCACCAATCAGGACTTTATGGTAGAGTGGCCAGATGGAAGCCACTCCTCAGTAAAAGGCACATGTCAGCCTGCTTGGAGTTTGCCAAAAGGCACCTAAAGGACTCTCAGACCATGAGAAACAAGATTCTCTGGTCTAATGAAACCAAGATTCAACTCTTTGACCTGAATGCCAAGCGTCATGTCTGGAGGAAACCTGGCACCATCCCTACGGTGAAGCATGGTCTTTGCAGCATCAAGCTGTGGGGATGTTTTTCAGCGGCAGGGACTGGGAGACTAGTCAGGATTGAGGGAAAGATTAACAGAACAAAGTACAGAGAGATTCTTGATGAAAACCTGCTCCAGAGCGCTCAGGACCTCAGACTGGGGTGAAGGCTCACCTTCCAACAGGACAACAACCCTAAGCACACAGCCAAGACAACGCAGGAGTGGCTTCAGGACAAGTCTCTGAATGTCCTTGAGTAGCCCAGCCAGAGCCCGGACTTGAACCTGATAGAACATCTCTGGAGAGACTTGAAAATAGCTGTGCAGCAACGCTCCCCATCCAACCTGACAGTGCTTGAGAGGATCTTTAGAGAAGAATGGGAGAAACTCCCCAAATACAGGTGTGCTAAGCTTGTAGCGTCATACCCAAGAAGACTTGAGGCTGCAATCGCTGCCAAAGGTGCTTCAACAAAGTACTGAGTAAAGGGTCTGAATACGTGTTTTTGCTTTGTCATTATGGGGTAGTGTGTGTAGATTGATGAGGGGGGAAAAAACAATTTCATCAATTTTAAAATAAGGCTGTAACAAAATGTGGAAAAAGTCAAGAAGTCTGAATACTTTCTGAATGCATTGTATGTGTGTGTATGCTGACCTTGTATTTTGGGCAGCAGGGTCTTCTCTATGATAGCAGGCAGTGTTTTCCTGTCCGTGTGCTCTGCCTCCTGGTAACCCAGTCCGTGACAGAATGTCTCTACAGCGGAGAACCACGGCAGAGCCTCAAAGTCCTCTCCTGCAGCCTGATACACACAGATCATTATTATACGACACAAAATACAGAGGTACGTCAAAATACACACAAAGACTGAACTGTGTGACGTCCTGTACGGATTTTGTACCGAGTGTGCTGTACCTGTAGTGGGTTCCAGCCTAAAAGTTGGTGTCTGATGAGTGGGTTGAGTAGTTTGGGCAGACAGAGGCTGATGTAGGCTGAGTGGTAGGACTCAGAGAAGGCTTCTCTCCACTCGCTGAAGCGAGACAGAACCTTCTTCACCTCCCAGAAGTCCTCCTGCACGTCACAGAACACATCCTGGGACCTGCTCAGGATCTCCGCTGAATTAGACAGGAGGGGAAAAAGAGATGCGAGAGTGGAAACGCTGTCTTTTATTGTATGGTTTAGAGAGTTCGCTCTAACTCTGTAAGGAATGGGATGGCAAATCTTTAGATAAATAAACTAATTAAATAGTTTGCTGTATTTTTCTTTATTGCAGAAACCCATTTGGGAATTATATACTGGGCTGAAATCAAGGGGTCACCAACACACGTTTGGTAAGTGGAGGACATTTGTCCTCACCCAAGACAGCTACACCTCTCACCTCTCTCCCTCTGCAGTTCTGCCTCTTCCTCAGGGGAAGGCTCGCTGTCGGCCGGCAGGCTACCATAGTCTTCCTCACCTGGCTCTCCTGACTCACTGGATGGATAATCAGATCAAACAGTAGATGAGGATGTAGTGGTGGAAATGATCATGTAATATTGTGACTGGTGAATGGTGAAACGCTAAAGCGATGTGTAACTACTAAAGGGAGTATTCTCACTCACCTTTTACTCGGTTTTTCATTCACGCTTTCCCCTGAGTCTCCTTCACTTTGTGGATCAGTGGCATCTAGAGTGAGAGAGAGCGATAATACGTTTAGAAATCCACCCAACTACAGTTAATCAGAAAAAATTAACAGATCAAGAGTGTGAGGAGGAGTCCTATGGTTAACATTCTGCCTTTTCACTGACTAGGACCACACAATCAGAGTACACAAAAACACAGACAGACACACACACTCACAGCTGAGCTGCTGTAGGCGAGATGACTCCTGTCGTATGGCCTCTCGTCTCCTTGACAACAGTACCTCCGCCTGGTCAGACAGAAGAGTGTGCATGTCCACCTCCACACTGTTGATCTCTACCACCTAAAGATGATCAATTAATCAGTCAATCACTCTTTAATTTTTTTTATTTCTGGGGGGGGGGGGGGGTGACCTCCCCACCCCTCCTTAACATTGTCTCATCATCACATTGTATCTCACAGTGCTTCCATTTGTCATTTTAAAGACCAGATCATGCCAACAGACACTTCCTGTTACCCAGAAGCCCTCTGTTCTCTGACCTTCTCTCTGAGACATTCCACCAGGTTCTGAATGTAGGCGTTGGTGGCCCGGTAGAACCGAAGCTGGCGGTCGGAGGAACCGCTCTCCAGGTTCTCCAGAGAGGTTCTAGAGCTGTCCATGTCCACCTCCATTCTCCTCAGGTCAGCCTCATGAGCCCTGTGGACCTCCCTCAGATCACACAGTCTGGGGAGGAGAGGAAGGGGTGAGAGGAGAGGAGAGATGGAGAAAGGTTGGAGCTTAGATTTACTAGACAAACATTATTTTTTACAGCTAGAGTACATGAAGTATATCGTATTGAGAGGTCAATGTAAGGATGAATGAATGAACCAACTGACTTCCCAGTGATCCTCTTCTTCACCATGCTGAGGCTGACGGGAGGCATACACTCTGGGATGTTGACTCTCTGTTTCCGTCTACTACTACCGCTCCTCACAGAGCCACTGCCCTCACTGCCTGATGGACTCTAGGGGGAAAGACAGAGTTGGGCGGTCGGTGGAGGAATGAAACTGAAAGCGTGTGTGTAAGTGAGACACAGGGGTGAGTATATTACCTGTTCTCCAGGGTGTCTCTTGACTCCCTTTCCAATCTGTTGCTCCTGCCACAGGTTGTCGTCTTCTCTCTCCTGTTCGTCAGACTCACTAGCACCACTGTCACTTCCTCCTGTACCAACACGGGCAGGCAGGGAGGGAGCGACAGAGCAGAAATACAGAGAGAAAGACAGTGTCACTCCCTCCTGTATCAACACGGCCAGGGAGGGAGCCACAGAGCAGATATACAGAGAGAAAGACAGACTGTCACTCCCTCCTGTATCAACACAACAAGGACTAAAACCAAAGAGAACAAAGACAACAGATTTCAGCACTCAGTCAAAGGAGGTGTGATAACCTTCATCTCTCACTCCCCTTCCTCTAAGCCACAGATACATCATTATGGGATTTGATTATAAACTGGCTGTTTATTATTCATTACTAAAACTAAATCAAAAACCTGTTGCCCAAGACCACAAAACAATAGACCCTGCATTCTCTCCTCCTCTCACCCATCTTCTCTGCTATCCTCTCCCTGATGGTTTTGGAGCGCGGGGCAAACTCAATCCTGCATTCATGGTCGTCTGGCTCATCATCATCATCATCTTCTTCGGTGTGTTCCTCCAGGTCCTGGTCTGGGGTCCGGGGGGAGCTCTCCCCGTCTCTCCCCAGGGAGATGTAGTCTTTCTGGGCTCTGGCTGCCTGACGCTGCCTTCTTGCCGCCTGGATCCTTCTTGCGTCTGGGATCACCACTACACACAACAACACAAGGGATGTCTCTTCAGAATGCTGCCTATCTGCCGGTCTCTGTGTAGACCAGGCAGGGGTGGACCATCTTACCCTGCAAGGGGCCAGTGTAGCTGCAGGCTGGTTAAGACAATAAACTCACTCTTCTGAGCCCTTTGATTTTGTTCATATCCTGAAACACACTTTTGGGTCTACCAGCTGAAGGACTTTAAAAAAATAAAAAATAAATACCAGCCACTCAGACTTTATCAGCATTTGGCTGTCGCACATTTTTGGCATTGGATTAATTATAGCCTTTTCTATGGAGCCCTAGCTATCTGTGAGACTGACCTGGTTTCTGTTTCTGAGTGGAGGACTTGGAAGATCTGGAGGACCTGGAAGACATGGAGGAGGCAGAGCTGGATGTGGTTGACTTGGCACCTCCCTCTCCGTCACTCTCTGGTGACAGTTCTTCTCCGGACACATCGCTACCGGACCTCTCTCTCGGGGACGCAACCACAGTCACATCTTTCCTGGCTGGGGTCAACACAGAGACATGGTTAGACAGATCAATCATGTAGCCTTAACAGTGGTGTGTATTTACAGAAACGTGTTTTATCTCTAGATCATTTATGGTTATAAACGATCTGACAATAAACGGCAACGTTGTGCTCACCAGTAGGCCGGGAGGTCTTGACAGGGGAAGCCTCCTTCCTCCTGGCTTGGAAGACCACAGCTTTATCTGACGATTTCTTTAGTTTGAACTCAGATCCTTCAAATGGGAAGAGAAAGTTAAAAACAGTTAATAACGCAACTGGGTTAATCTCAATTGTATTTCCTTGATTCCTCATGTCCTCCCTCGTCTCCTTCTCAAAACACATTGGAGCAGAAGATCTGAGGTCCCTCCCCTCTGATCTTCTCTTCCAATGTGTTTTGAGAAAGAGAAAAGGAGCGAGAACGCAAGGAATCAAGGAAAAACTATTGAGATTAACCCCTCTCCTCGTTCCTCCCCTCCACCTGCACTAGAGAACAGGCCAGGTGAAGGATAGGGAATTCATGGAAGACATGACCCATATTGCTGCAGCCACCAGTCCTGTGTTTTCACTTTTCAGACAGTACAAATTAAGGGCACAAGGAGGGGAAGCCACTTTACAGATGAATTTACGCAATGCACCCACCTTACCGTCAGTTAGTGACGTTTGAAATACGCCTGTGGCCTGTGCACTTACATAACAAAACGTTTACCTTCTTTCTCATTAGAGAAGCTGAGCACGTTTCCTTTCTTCTTCCGTCCATCCTTGTCCTCTTTACTGTGAGGCAGATTAGTGCCAACGAAAGGCCCACTAGTCCCATATTCTACCGCGTCTTCAGCACCACTCGAGTCCGAGTTGGGCGGCATCGCCTCCCGCTTGGAACTGCATGAGATCCCCCGGTTCTGCGGCAACTTGGAGGGCTTTATGCTAGAAGCGGTAGCTTGTATTTTACTTCCATCACCCTCTCCGCTCTTCTGTTCATCTTCATCGCTCGATTTTCCTTTCCTTTGCCTGAAGTTTCTTCGCGGTTTCTTGTTGAACATTTTCAGGGCAGGGGGATCGCCATGTAAATAAAGCGCAATACGGTAAGTCGGAAATAAATTGGAGAAGAAGTAAATCTGTCGGCAATCCTCTCGAAATGCATTTTGGGTACTCGGGGGTGGGGTACGTTCACGTTCATAATAACGACGTTTGAATTATATCAATATTTGACCAATCACTGAAATGATGATAGTATTATGTGATAGTGACAGTATTATGTGATTCATCACAATAGAATAAAAACACTATGAAATTGTTTTAATGGAAAAACAGTAAGAGTGTTTTCTTATTATTGTTTCCTAGTCCTCCTTTTTAGCTGATCCAACAAGTGGAATACCCATAGACTTAGATAGATATCGCATCATTGTATCTGACGCATTGTGCCATCTGTGAGAGCCATTGAGGCCATTTTCATTTTTAAGTAGGCCTAGTCAATTTCCTTATTCTACAACTTCTATGTGTTGGCAAACAAACTGAAAGGGTGCATACTTTCACCTAGAGTGTGTTGTTTGAACATGTATAAAGACAAGGTTGGCGATTTACTGCCACCTACAGACTCATATTAAGCATCTCCAATCCAAAGTTAAATCTAGAATCGGCTTCCTATTTCGCAACAAAGCCTCCTTCACTCATGCTGCCAAACATGCCCTCGTAAAACTGACTATCCTAACGATCCTTGAATTCGGCGATGTCATTTACAAAATAGCCTCCAACACTCTACTCAGCAAATTGGATGTAGTCTATCACAGTGCCATCCGTTTTGTCACCAAAGCCCCATATACTACCCGCCACTGTGACCTGTACGCTCTTGTTGGCTGGTCCTCACTACATATTCGTCGCCAAACCCACAGGCTCCAGGCCATCTATAAATCACTGCTAGGCAAATCCCAGCCTTATCTTAGCTCATTGGTCACCATGGCAACACCCACCCGTAGTATGCGCTCCAGCAGGTATATCTCACTGGTCATCCCCAAAGCCAACACCTCCTTTGGCCGCCATTCCTTCCAGTTCTCTGCTGCCAATGACTGGAACGAACTGCAAAAATCTCTGAAGCTGGAGACTCTTATCTCCCTCACTATCTTTAAGCATCAGTTGTCAGAGCACCTTACCGATCACTGCACCTGTACACAGCCCATCTGAAATTAGCCCACCCAACTACCTCATCCCCATATTGTTATTTATTTTGCTCATTTGCACCCCAGTATCTCTATTTGCACATAATCTCTTGCACATCTATCATTCCAGTGTTAATACTAATTGTAATTATTTTGCACTATGGCCTATTTATTGCCTTACCTCCATAACTTGCTACATTTGCACACACTGTATATATATTTTCTGTTGTATTTTTGACTTTATGTTTTGTTTTACCCCATATGTAACTCTGTGTTGTTGTTTTTATCGCACTGCTTTGCTTTATCTTGGCCAGGTCGCAGTTGTAAATGAGAACTTGTTCTCAACTGGCTTACCTGGTTAAATAAAGGTGAAATAAAAATAAAAAAATAAAGTATAATTCATTGGCTGATCCACAGAGTTTCTAAACCCAGAGGCAAAACATCGCGAGACATTCAGGAACGCTTGTGAAGCAGACCAAGCAGACCAGGCCGGGGTTTGGGGTTAGGGAAGTCAATGAGAGAAGTTAACATTATTCCTTAGTTGTTAATTTTTTCGAAATCTAAAGGCACAACCTCGATTCGAGCCAATGTCTTAAGTAGTTGAACATGTTATTACTCCAACCTCGTGAAAGTGACAAACTGAAACATTTACATTTTTGTCAAAAAAAACTTTATATCGAAGGCGTGACTTTGATTTGACGGCCTGCACGTGCACAGTTCCGCGCGAGACGACCTTTAGACCCTATGATGTGTTTCTGCACATGAGCTTAGCTTGCCAACGTAGCCATGACGTCACCTTCAAGCGTGATCTGGGATTTCTATTAGAGAATACGTTAATGCTTATCTTCATACTGTACTGTCTTTGGCTGATCCCTCCTGATGACCCAGATGGAATCATGTGATCCTACCTTAACCCATAGGTAGTCCCACCCAGTTGACTACTTAAAAATTGTGAAAGTCCTCAATGGTGCTGCCCATGCTAAAATGGGCTTTCGGGCACTACAGTCCTCTATCTATCTCTATGGGAATTATTTGGAAATATTCTGTCCTCTTCTGCAGAGGTTAGCAAAGTCACGAAATGATGTAGGAGCTTCAAAGGGGCAGAAGGCTGTGTGTTGTTATGGTTCTGGATGGCCAGATAGCTAGCAACAATGACAAGAAACTGTCGTGGTGAATTGTGTATGTTCGATTGATCTTCTTCTTGATACCATGTAATGTTTGGAGGTGTTTTGACTGATGTCATGTCTATGCTAATCAGTAGCGGTGCGTGGGTAAAATCACAGAGGAAGCCAAGCCCCCTGCAGTACCAGTCAAAAGTTTGGACACACCTACTCATTCAAGGGTTTTCTTTATTTTTACTATTTTCTATATTGTAGAATAATAGTGAAGACATCAAAGCTATGAAATAACACATATGGAATCATGTAGTAACCCAAAAAGTGTTAAAACAAATCAAAATATATTTTATATTTTAGATTCTTCAAAGTAGAATCTACTTTGTCTTCCAGGTCCTCCAGCTGCAGAGAAGTACTTGGGTGTACAAGGTTTTACTGCAGAAGAGTAACAAGGTGTGTTGAACGAAAGAGTCCTGTCCTCCCAGGCCATCAGCCTGGAGTAGGATCAGTAAGGGTCAAAGTAGTGCTATATAGGTGTAAGGTTAGTTGGTGGTGCAATTCTTTCCTTTCCCCCTTCCTTTAAATGTTTGTATCACAAAATGTAACGTGATCGACCACACACTCCTGCACAGTAGGTGGCGGCATACACAAACAAATGTGCGACCGCTACGATACCGAAGAAGAAGAAGATTGTCTCGATCAGCTGGACATCTCCATGCGCGCTCCCCAGGCGCTCTCCTCCTCCTCCCAGTTAAATGTCGCCGTGCCCGCGCACCGGCGACCCGCCTGTCAGCCATGTTGTCTGTGTGACCCAGCTGTCAGCAACAGGTCCAGTTTACTGAACTACACATTCCTCTCGGAATTACACCATTCTACCATTACGAGACGGCTGCATAACGCCAGGGAGACCTTTTCGGAGTATTTAGACCTTTCACTGCGGACAGAAAAGAGGATAAAGTTGATGTTTTTTTGCCCCATGGTGAGAGGTAAGCGACCCCAAACTGCCTTTCCCAGCGAGCCCATACTATTTTTGTTGGGAAGATGATATTGCTAGCGAAAACATTGAGCTACTGCCCTTCCTTAAATAAAATATTGATTGCATGTACTTAGCTTGGTAATAATTTTATTATGACTAACTAGGGATTTTTTTGATGCTCTGAAATGTTTTTCTTTTTTAAATCAACACTGGTAGTGTGCCTTCCTCACACGAACTTGTTTGAAGTTGGTCAAACTAAAGGACAGCTAAATGGACAAATCAGACTTTGCTATTGAGAGCCAATATTTAGTCTGTTGTGTTTAAAACCGTATTTTATGCACAAAACTCCTTTAGATTCCTCAAACCAAACTTGTTGAGCAGGTTGCAAAGAATGCAACAGTAGCAAGCTAGGTATCAGTATAACATAGCACTTTGCAAAGTGATTCTGATGCTATTGATACTGTTAGCCTACATTGTAAAGAAACTAAACCATCCTATCCTCCACTTGAACTGTTGTTTTGTGTCTGATGATGTTGTCCATGGATCTACATACCCAGGGACTCCTCAGCAATGTCCATCATTATCATCTGGTCATTCCAAACAGTATAAAGATTATACTGTATAAAGCATCATGACTGTTTAATTTTTTGTTTGTCTGGCAGCAAACCTTGGTGATGTGATTCTACACAGATGTAACATCCCGTCCTCCAGGCAGGCTGCTGTCATTGGTAGTGGATGTGTTATCTCCTATCAGGACTGCATTCATTTGGGTAGCGCTGAATGATCCGGACTCACCTGTGTAGAGCAGGCGATGAAGGTTGAACTCATGGTTGATTTATTTAACACTGTCAAACAGACTGCACTGCACACAACCTACTTGGTTTTCCGTGACTTCAGGGCCATCAAATAGGGATCAACAAAAGAGCTAGTGAGGGACAGGGACAAACAGCTGGGACAGGGGACGGGGACGGGGACAAACAGCTGGGACGGGGGACGTGGATAAACACAGCTGGGACAGGGGACTGAGGAGACGGGCTGGTTGGCAGTGGTCCAAGAAGCCTTGTGTAAACTGCCTGTCACGTCCCGGGGCCGGGGGACAGTAGTGGTCATCCCATTGCCACATCTCTCTCCACTGTCTCCACTCACAATCGATGTGGGACGTGTGCTCTGGCACAAAATGGCTGCCGTGGCATGCACCATCAATCCAGCAGTGTATTCATTTAGATGATTGAATAGATAGTCGAACAAAGACCAAGTGGTTGAAAATGATGTCTGACACATAGGCGCCATCGATCAAGAACTGGTCTATCCCTCAGGCTAATGTGTGAGTTGACTGGCCTCTTCTCATTGGAGCCTGCTTTTCTGTGTTGATGGCCAATGTTTTGGACCACCTCTCTGTCTCTGGCCTGTTGAGACCTCTGTTACATCACTGTTATTAATAAATACAACATGAAGGTTTTCACCTAGCAGCCAGTACTGATCTGTATCAACTCTTGTCTAGTCCCCATAAGGTCACTTCCATGTCAAAGGACCCATGTGAAGTTCATAGGAGCATATCAAATTGGGTGTCAAATGAAAGCTGAGTCAATATTTTTGAGAAATTAAGGCATATATTCATTTTGCAACCATTTTCCATCCTAAAATGTTGGATTAAGAGAAGGCTTTGATTTCTGTTCAAAGAGATGGAAAAGGGGTCTTGGAAAACTTCTACCAGAAAAAGTCTTAAAAGGTATAAGTTTAAGAAACATTGGCTTGTGCCTTGATATTCTGTTACCAAAACCCACATATCTTTAAGATATTTTCTAATTTCTCTCCCTCATTAGTAGAGGGGGATAATGAAAGTTCACAGAAGTAACAAGTAAAGGTAGGCCTATCAATGAGT